TACTTGTTCTGTTACCCTGAGGAGGGCCACAATTCTCAGAAAAAGAAAAATGAGTTTCCTAACAGGTGTCTCTTTCATGTCATTGTGACTCACGGGAGAGTATTGTACCTCCCAAGAGAGTTGAGTGGAACAATAGTTGAAAACCAGGGAAGGGAGTTCCCTGGCAGTCCAGTGGTTAGGACTCCTCCCTTTTAGGGCAGTGGGTCTGGGTTCAGCCCCTGGTCGGAAAACTAAGATCTCACAAGCCAAGAGGCACAGTCCCAAAACAAACAAAACCAGAGAAATACATAGCATGTGAGTAGTACCTTACCCTACAAGATTTCAAAGCACAGAGCACGCAAGCAGAGGGAGAATCTGGAAGGTATCACAGCAATCGCACAGTTGGAGTTACCCTAAGTGCAGCATCTCATGGCTGAAAGGAATCCTAAAGCATCTTTCTATCTAGTTACTGACCCACCCATTGCTTGCAGATGGATTTTTAACAGACAGGTGGGGTTTCGATGGTGCTTGCACTGCAGGGAGCAGAGGCCCAGTCGCTGGTGGGGAAACTTAGATCCTGCAAATCGCAGGGCAACGGCCAAAATAAAATTTGAAACTTCGTATTTGCCAGTATTATATACTTGACTCAAGCACTGTACTGTTTGCAAAGTGGAAGAGGTTTGTACCTTGCCCTGGTTTATTTTCTTCAAGGTTAGAATCTTGACTTTTTTTCCCCTTTAAGTTTCACTTGGTTTAGTTGTGTATTATCTTGAAGCAGATATGTGTCGAAGTAGTTGATGGAGATGCTACCTCAGGAAGACACTGCGAATAAAGCGATCGCTTTTTAATTGACTGCGGAAATCCTCTTACTTAAATATTTAATGGGGGTCGGGGGTGGGAAAGGTCCTCATAATAAACCATGCCCAGTGGGGATGAGTTCGGTCTGGCTGTGAAAACAAAATCGGAAGGTGAGACTAGAACGGAGCCGCGACTCACAGCCCCACTCTCAAATGCGGGGTTCCGGGCGCTCAGAACTCCTGTTTTCCCGGGCTCCCCCTGCAGGTCGCGCCTTGTCGCGGCGCGCCCAGACCGCGGGGCGCAGAAACCTCAAGGGAAGTCATCTAGGTTGGGGATTGGCTGGTCACACAGCCGGCATGGGGGCGTGGCGTATGTAGATGAGCGGCGCGCAGAGCCTGCTGGTCCCGCTCCCCCCCGGGCCTCGGCGTCCCGCGTGTGGCCACGCGGAGGTTCCTGAGGTTGTTCCCCGGGTGGGCGAGGCCGGGCCGAGGGACGCGCAGGGGCGGCGGGTGCGGAGGTGGTGCGAGGGAAGTGACCGTGCGTTTAGAGTGGGGCGAGCTCGAGGGTGCTGGGCGGTGGGTGGCGGGCAACTCATACTTACCTGGCAGGGGAGATACCATGATCACGAAGGTGGTTTTCCCAGGGCGAGGCTTATCCATTGCACTCCGGATGTGCTGACCCCTGCGATTTCCCCAAATGTGGGAAACTCGACTGCATAATTTGTGGTAGTGGGGGACTGCGTTCGCGCTTTCCCCTGATTAACGTGGTTCATATAAGAGCAGACCAAGCAGAAAGCGGTTGTATCGCCTGTAAGCCCTGCAGTCAGATGGTTTTTGTGGTTTCCGAGTTGCCCTAGTGGCTTTGTTGCTGTGGTGGACAGCTGCTGTACTGACGGTGTACTACGGTATGACACCTCGAAACGCGCAGAAGTGCTTACATTGTTAGACAAAAAGGTCTTTTGGGTCGTGTTTCCGGTTGTAGCTAGTTTTCCTTGCAGCGTCCGACTCCGCGACCCCGTAGACTGTGGCCCACCCGTTTTCTCCGTCCATAGGATTCTCCAGGCAAGAATTACCGCAGTGGGTTGGCATTTCCTTCTCCGGGAGGTCTTCCCGACCCAGGGACGGAACCCAGGTCTCCCGCGTTGCAGGTAGACGCTTTAAAGCCTCTGAGCCACCGGGGAAGACCCATTTTCCTTGGGAAAATTTATCATTTTCCAGACTAGTGCGGGTTTTTTGGTCAGCATTACCCGGGCAAGTGGGAAAAGGGTCTCTGTTGAGTTTGCAGCAGTTTGAGTAGGTGTTTACAAAAAAGAGCTTCCCGACCCAAATAATCATGATGGTGTGATCACTCATCTGGAGCCAGACGGCCGGGAATGGGAAGTCAAGTGGGTGGGCCTCAGGAGCCTTCACAGGACAAAGTGAGTGGAGGTGATGGAATTCCAGTTGGGCTATTTCAAATCCTAAAAAATGATGCTTGTGAACGTGCTGGCATAGCAAATTCGGAAAACTCAGCTAGTGGCCACAAGACGGGATAAAGGTCAGTCTTCATTCCAATGCCAAAGAAAGGCAATGCCAAAGAATGCTCGAGCTACCGCACAAGTGCACTCATCTCACAGGCTAGTAAAATAATGCTCAAAAGTCTCCAAACCAGGCTTCAGTAGTACGTGAACCCTGAACTTCCAGCTGTGCAAGCTGGATTTAGAAAAGGCAGAGGAGCCAGAGATCAGATTGCCAACATCCGTTGGTCGGATCATCGGAAAAAGCCAGAGTTCCAGGAAAAACAACCTACTTCTGCTCTATTGACTATGCCAAAGCCTTTGACTGTGTGGGTCACAAGGAACTCTGGGAAATCCTGAAAGAGGGGAATACCAGACCACCTGACCTGCCTCTTGAGAAATCCGTATGCAGGTCAGGAAGCAACAGTTAGAACTGGACATGGAACAACAGACTGGTTCCAAATTGGGGAAGGAATAGAGAAATATCAATAACTTCAGATATGCAGATGACACCACCCTTATGGCAGAAAGCGAAGAAGAACTAAAGAGCCTCTTGATGAAAGTGAAAGAGGACAGAAAAAGTTGGCTTAAAACTCAACATTCAGAAAACTAAGATTGTGGCATCTGGTCCTGTCACTTCATGGCAAATAGATGGGGAAACAATGGGAACAGTGACAGGCTTTACTTTGGCGGGGGCGGGCTCCAACATCACTGCAGATGGTGACTGCAACCAAGAAATTGAATGATGTTTGCTCCTTGGAAGAAAAGTTATGACCAACCGGACAGCACATTAAAAAGCAGAGACATTACTTTGCCAACAAAGGTCCCTCTAGTCGAAGCCATGGTTTTTCCAATAGTCATGTATGGATGTGAGAGTTGGGCCATAAAGAGAGCTGAGCGCCGAAGAATTGAACTGTGGTGTTGGAGGAGACTCTTGAGAGTCCCTTGGACTTCAAGGAGATCCAACCAGCCCACCCTAAGGAAGATCAGTCCTGAATATTCGTCGGAAGGACTGATGCTGAAGCTGCAACTGCAATACTTTGGCCACCTGATGTGAAAAACGCACTCATGGGAAAAGACCCTGATGCTGGGAAAGACTGAAGGCGGGAAGAGAAGGGGACGACAGAGGATGAGATGGTTGGATGGCATCACCGACTCAATGGACATGGAGCTTGAGTAGACTCCCGGAGTTGGACGGGGAGATCTGGCGTGCTGCCGTCCATGGGGTCCCAAAGAGTCAGACGCGACTGAACTGAACTGAACTGAACTGAACTGAACTGAACTGAATAGGTGTTAGAGGTTATACAAAGCAGATCAGGGGAAGACAAATACAATATCTATAAAATCACTTACTGTTTCAGCCGTGCCCGACTCTGCGACCGCATGGACTGCAGCACGCCAGGCTTACCTGTCCCTCACAGTCTCCCAGGGTTGCTCAAACTCATGTCCATTGAGTCGGTGATGCCATCCAACTATCTCATCATCCTCTGTCACCGCTTTTCCTCCTGCCTTCAATCTTTCCCAGCATCAGGGTCTTTTCCAATGAGTCAGCTCTTCGCATCAGGTGGCCAAAGGATTGAAGCTTCAGCTTCAGCATCAGTCTTTCCAATGAACATTCAGGGTTGATTTTATTTAGGGTGGACTCGTTTGATCTCCTCGCAGTCTAAGGGACTCTCTCAAAAGAGTTTTTTCCAACACCACAGTTCAAAAGCATCATTTCTTTGGCGCTCAACTTTCTTTAGGGTTCAACTCTCACATCCATACATGACCACTGGAGAAACCACAGCTTTGACTAGACAGACCTTTGTCAGCAAAGGAGGGACAAAGGAGACCAATCGATTCCAAGACTTTCAGTCTGTGGCAACTTTAAGGATGTCAGGAAGTGGCAAAAGCAGAAATTGAGTCAAGAGTAGCTATTGGCCGACGCATAGGAATGGAGTGAAAGATGCTGGGCCTGTTTGGGGCTACATTGATTGATTTGCAGCAGGCGGGGGTATCTAGCCAAAGAAGTGGAAATCCGACAAGTATCAGAGGAAAGGGCAAGGATTAAATAAGACAGAGTAGTTATCTGAATTGGATCATTAAGAGGGGACACTTGTCCCTAAGGGGGCAGAAACTTGAGTATAGGCTGGTAGAGAAACAGAAGAAACGGTCTCCCAGTCAAGATGCTGTCATCTGTCTCATCTCACACATCCAGCGGATGTGTAAGCTAAGGGCTGAGGAAAGGTCGGGACTAAGAAGAGGTCAAGAAAGGCAAATTAGGAAGTAAGTAATGACAATTTAGCAACTTTTTGGAAGACAGACGAGGCCGGAAGTCAGACTGAAAAGGGAGAACAGTGAAAGCAAGGCAGTTGCGCGTGAAAAAAGGCAGAAAAAATAAAAGAAGGGTTTCAGGCGACGAGATTCGAGGGACGCCGAATGCTAGTGTCTGGAGACCTACTGGTCCTGATCTAAGAATACAAGTCCTTCAGCATATAGATTTCTGCTTTTTCACGTCACTACGTGAAACACGGCACGTAGAGTGTTCATCTCACATATTGCCACTTATGAGAGTGCTAACTGCAACTTCCAGTAATAAGGCAGCGGTTTCCTATGTTCCAAATAGGAACATATTCCTGTTGCGAAGGGCAGCAGCAGGATTTCGGAACCCGCCAGCCGTACCAGCCCTTCGCTGGGAATATCCGCGCAGGCGCGCATAAAGGACTCGGAAGTTGGGGCGGAAGTTGTGTCGGAGCACTTTAGGGAAGGGACCTGCAGAGTAAACAGTTACTGTGCAGACGCTTGTGGATGGTTTCGGAGGGGCCGGCAGCCATGAACCGCCTCCAAGACGACTATGACCCGTACGCAGTTGAGGAGCCTAGCGACGAGGAGCCGGCTTTGAGCAGGTTGGCCCCTGTCCCGCCGCGTCCCCCTGCCTCTCCCCGGCCCCCGAGGCTTCAGACCAAGGTCAGACCTCAGCCTCCCGACTCGCTGCGCTTGTCGGGCCCGTGCGGATACTCCGTCCAGCGGTTCGGGACCCTGTCGCACCCCGCTGTCGTCTGTGGGATTCCGCCGGGGGTTCTGGTGAGGTCTTGCAGTCAGGGGGGAGGCAGGATCGAAATTGGCGCAGGGAAGGGCTATAGTCTGTATTCTGGAATTACGCATAAGATTCAAAAGCCTCGTGAAGTCGAATCCTGCTTATGCAGCTTATCAGCACTGTGACTGCGGGCAAGTCCTTTATCGTCGGTTTCTCGTTTATAAAAAGGAAGTATAACATCGCAAGTTAGTTGTGAGGCACTTGGGACTTACTGTGAATTGAATGAACATCATGAAGGTTAAACTGCCATAGCCGGAAATTAGGGGATAATTAACCTTTTTTTCCCTTTTCTTTTTGAGCATCTATTGAATGCTTGCTGTGGGCTACAGAGATCAGACATAAGATTTTTGTCTTCGACAGGTTTAATGGTAAAGTAAGGGGACATAAGATAGATACGTATCTTGCGAGATTTATGTCTCGGAAATAAACCTGTATTGCAGAAGAGCGCTGTAGAAAAAGATGACCTGGGATAGTTACAGATGAAGTTCCACGGGAATTTCCAGAAGGGAGGAATTAATCCTACCTGAGGGAAACTTGCATTTATGTTGACTAGAGATTTCCAGGCAAGTTTAGCCATTTTTAAAGCTGTCAGCAGATCCTTTTCATAAACCTTAAAATATTCTGTCCGACTAGTTTTCTGTGAAACTGTTTTTCCTTTAATCACAGTGCTTCCTCATACTATCCCGGGGAGGGTTTATAGGCATGGGAGATCACACTGCTGTGAGGATTTCTGTTGTGGGAAGTGAGGATGGATTCCAGGATTCCCTTATGAAGAGTTTCACTTATGGGCCCAGTCTGTGAAAGTAGGCCTCAATTAGTAATTCAGTTTGATTGGTTTCAGTGTTTCCTGAACTTGAGTTATTCTTCCATTATCATTCCCATATTCACCCTTGTTATTACTTATTTAATATTTTTCTTTAAGTCAATTTACATTTTTGTAGTTAAATGCTTTCTTTTTCTTTGGCTCACAGTTTGTGGGATCTTAGTTCCCTAACCAGGGATTGAACCTGGGCCCCCAGCCATGGAAGCACAGAGTCCTAACCACTGGATCACCAGGGAATTCCCATGTAGTTAAATATTTATAAGGAGACTTTATATTCCTGTGATAGTTGCAACTGATAAGGTAACTGTAAATATAAATACTTTGAAAACAAAACAATGTTATTAGGCGAAAACAATGCTTGTTTTCGAAAGGGAGATTGTGTTAGGTGTTTAAGAGATGTCTGTCAGGATTTGATTTTACTCTATCTAGAAGTGAATCCTTTATCACCTGTTACTGTTTCATGGAAGCTGGCGGAACACATGAGTCTCCCGAGTAAGAGGCACCTCATAGTAGAGCAAGCAGTCTGAGCAGCATGTTTGTGTTGGTTGCTCTTGCTTGCAACTCCTGTCTATAGGAGTTACGTGGAGAGGCCCAGATGGCTGCTGCATGTTCAGTGGGTTGGTGTCATAGCCGAGGACCACTTGGGCCTGGAGGTGCACCTTTTACAGCAGGCAGTAAATGTGTCACTAGATGCCGGTAAGCCCTCCTCCCACGTCCTGGTTGTGACCATCAAAAATATCTCTTAGCTATGCCAGATGTTCCCTGGGAGGCAAAATTGCCCCCAGTTGAAGAGTACTGTGGTAGTTCAAGGGTAATAGTGAAAGATAAGGCTGAAAAGATAAGTTGAAACCAGATTGTGGAAGATTCTTTTGAATGCTGTACTCAAAGTTTTGGTCATGGATGATTTTCTTTTGGATTTGGGTAGTGATGTGATCGCTGAGGAAGGCTTTCTTATCTCTCCTGGCTATTCTTTGGAACTCTGCATTCAAATGGGGATATCTTTCCTTTTCTCCTTTGCTTTTCGCTTCTCTTCTTTTCACAGCTATTTGTAAGGCCTCCTCAGACAACCATTTTGCCTTTTTGCATTTCTTTTCCATGGGGATGGTCTTGATCCCTGTCTCCTGTACAATGTCA